GGGTCCCCCGGTTTCTTGGGGGGTCCTTTTTGCTTGGTTAATTTTCCCATCCTGTCCCGTCGCCCCAGTCGTCCGTAGAGGGGGGGGTACTGTGTAGGGCCACGCTGCTAGGTAGCTCTCTCTCGGCCTCCCCCTCCCCTCTGTCTGTCTTGATTGCAGAGTAAGTCTGGTGTGGCGGGAGTCAGGGTTCACAGATTGCAGCTCATTCACCAAATCACCTCAGCCTGTTAAGACCCGTCAAACTTGTCACTCATCGTCCAGATCATAGTCAAGATGACCATGTTAGTCTCGCTGTCGACTCAACCTGTTGTTTTCGCTCTTTGTGTTTTTGCCTGTTCTATTTACTTTTCTCCTGTGCCACAGATTATTGGAACTGACTCTGCCCCGCTTCACTCCTGCCACCACCCTCCTGCTTTCCACTACCGGACCTCACTTTGGACTCACCACGGACACTAGGACATGACGGTACCCACACATGCCCCTGACCTGGATCTGTTACCCCTCCCTGTAACCTGGACTTGCTCTTCCCCTATTATTGGAAACCTGGACTAATTGAACATTGTAAATAAACCTGTTAAACCTTCTCTGGCTTGGTGTAGTTGTCTGCATTTGGGTTCAAATCCAGTTAAATCATGACACAAAGAGGAGCGATTGGTCATGGTCTCTTTAGTTGTGACATTCTCAATGTGGGAGCAGGAGCTAAGATGCCCTAACCCCGTATCCTATCTTGTCAATCCTATAAAAACAATAATAAGATTCCCCTGAGACTTCAAACAGAGGTAATCTAGGTCGGGGGGACTTCATTACCGGGGGATACAGATAGTGCAAGTTAATACAGACTCCTTCAACCACATTCCCAGGTGACTTTAACAATTTAACTATGCAAGATAAACCTGACGGAGAGTTAAGGCCCGTCAAGGGGAACGGAGTAGTGGTTAATCTAGGTTTGGCTGTCCCACAGGCGTTGCAGTCCTCTTGGGACATAGTTCTTGCCGTATACTGTATCCATTCCAACCATAGGTTCAGATCGCTATACCCAGTTTTCCCACCTCCACTACTTCCTTCAGATCTTCACCACGGCCCCAGTCTCACTCACCTCAGTTGAAGGAGATATTTCACTAGTCAGGACTGTAACATCCGCTGGGTTGATCTCTACCCGGAAAGCCACTAATGGATCTTCACAACATTTGCAGTCAAATCCAATATACCACAAACCCACATCAGTAGCCTTTACCTGTTTTAGCGTGATTCGGACTTTCAGACAGTACTTACCCTTGTATGGGGTTCCGCACTGCCATCCCGGTAATTCCCTACTTTCACGATACGCCACCTGTGCTTGTACTGTGTATGGAGATTCACAGTGTGTTGTGGGCATTGTTTTGGGTCATTGCTGGAATACCCATCCACGACCCATTTTTTAATGCCGTGGCTGAGGGAAGGAGGTTTCTCACCCAAGATTTGACGGTACATGGCCCCGTCCATCATCCCTTTGATGCAGTGAAGTTGTCCTGTCCCCTTAGCAGAAAAACACCCCCCAAAGCATATGTTTCCACCTCCATGTTTGACGGTGGGGGATGGTGTTCTTGGAGTCATAGGCATCATTCCTCCTCCTCCAAACACGGCGAGTTGAGTTGATGCCAAAGAGCTCGATTTTGGTCTCATCTGACCACAACACTTTCACCCAGTTCTCCTCTGAATCATTCAGATGTTCATTGGCAATCTTCAGACGGCCCTGTATATGTGCTTTCTTGAGCAGGGGGACCTTGCGGGCGCTGCAGGATTTCAGTCCTTCCGGCGTAGTGTGGTACCAATTGTTTTCTTGGTGACTATGGTCCCAGCTGCCTTGATATCATTGACAAGATCCTCCCGTGTAGTTCTGGGCTGATTCCCTCACCGTTCTCATGATCATTGCAACTCCACAAGGTGAGATTTTGCATGGAGCCCCCAGGCCGAGGGAGATTGACAGTTCTTTTGTGTTCTTCCATTTGGGAATAATCGCACCAACTGTTGTCACCTTCTCACCAAGCTGCTTGGCGATGGTCTTGTAGCCCATTCCAGCCTTGTGTAGGTCTACAATCTTGTCCCTGACATCCTTAGAGAGCTCTTTGGTCTTGGCCATGGTGGAGAGTTTGGAATCTGATTGATTGATTGCTTCTGTGGACAGGTGTTTTTTATACAGGTAACAAGGTGAGATTAGGAGCACTCCCTTTAAGAGTGTGCTCCTAATCTCAGCTCGTTACCTGTATAAAAGACACCTGGGAGCCAGAAATCTTTCTGATTGAGAGAGGGTCAAATACTTATTTCCCTCATTAAAATGCAAATCAATTTATAACATTTTTGACATGCTTTTTCTGGATTTTTTTGTTGTTATTTCTGTCTCTCACTGTTCAAATAAACCTACCATTAAAATTATAGACTGATCATTTCTTTGTCAGTGGGCAAACGTACAAAATCAGCAGGGGATCAAATACTTTTTTCCCTCACTGTATATCCCTACCGTCCCTTACAATATTAACCAGCCAGTAGTCCCC